CAGTCAGTCAGTCAGTCAGTCAGTCAGTCAGTCAGTCAGTCAGTCAGTCAGTCAGTCAGTCAGTCAGTCAGTCAGTCAGTCAGTCAGTCAGTTTGTCACTACAATTATAATGTTTATAAAGGCACTGTATCACATGACCACAGTTTGTAGGAGATGGCCAAATTGTATTTAAAGCTGCGTTTTGACATGATACCAGAATAAGCCTGAACTTTTGGTGTGGAATTTTAACGAACAGAGTAGTGGAAACATATGTGGTCAACTGGCAATAATGAAATTTGAATACATTTTTCGTATCATTTTAGTAGAGTTGTACTGTAATAATCAAGGGTCTCTGTAATTGCTTTATTACTATGTGGTTATTTTTCAATCACATACGACGCTGTACGCTGTAGCTAGGGATCAACACACACCTGTGAGCGTCAAATTACTTTCACGGGAAATAAATCAACGTGAAAGGCTGACATAAGTTCGTTTATGATGTATTGCTTAATGTGATTTAAATTAATTTTATGTTACGCTTGGGGATTTCAAGGTATCCAGGTAGAAACAACGTTTTCTGCACAACTCGGTTCGATACGGCTGTGGCTAGGACATCAAGCTATTCAATTAAAATATATGGTCCAAAATATGTGGAACTATGTCATTATTACTATTAGTGTCATGTGCAATTGTTTAAAGAAGGTGGCAGGGAGGGGATGAAGAGAAAAGTTAGACGAGAATGGATGGGAGAAGCAGAGGAAAAGAGAAGAAGGGAGGTGTCCGAGCAAAAATATGGAATCGAAAGACATTTTCGGCACCCAACACACTATCCCATAAGTTCAAACCACGAAGCGATATCAAAACGTTGTCGATTTTATCGGGTGAAATACAACAGGTGTGGTAGATGTTTCTCTTAAAATTCAACAGGTGGTCGCCATGGTGATCGCATGTTTGCTGGACGTTGATTCGTTGGCATTATTTCTAGAAGTAAAACACGTTAAAAACAAATACACCCAAATGATTGGATCTCATATTAGAAACTATAAGTAAAATTTATGTTGTAGAATTATGTATTTACTGACGATGTAAATTATTAATGAAGGTCGAATGTGTGCGTGCCTGTGTGTGGTGTTTTTTATGTGAATTAGTTGAATATAATATTCTAGAAAAAACGTAAATCTTCCGTTTTTTTTAAATTTATGGTTGTACGTTTGGTGTTTTATTTCGTCTACTGAGTAATTCGAGACGAATCAACGACAATGTCGATCGACATCCCCGAATAAATTCGACTATATCTGAACGATTGTGTTGTACATTATGGGTATCAGTTGCATCTGCGAACACGTAGTATCGGATATTGTACTGAGTGTTTCAATGTCCAAGCAGAGAACGTTTTTTTTTTTATATAATGTGTTTAGAGCAAAATAATAAATTTGTTTTTGATCAGTGTGTGCATCAGTTTGAAAATTTGGCCCATACCTGTTTTGTGTTTTTGCCAAAATATTGTAAAAAATGAAAGAAGAAAAAAATCATTGCATGGCAAAAAAATACGAAACCAAATGTACCTATTTTGAACATCCCAGGGCCTTTAAATTGTACTCTGAGATCATTCATTTCTATGTGTTCGGGTCTTGGCAAACCACTTAAAATAATTGGTGTGAATTTGAATTAATTGTGAGAAATGTTAACTAAAAGTTCAAGCTTATCTGAAAGTTAAGTAGCTAACACTTATAAATAGCGGTCCTATGCGCGAGGACTCGCTGCTGATCTGAAAATGCTTTTTGAAAATAGCCCGTCGTTCAGGCAAACTGTTTTATTCGTATGAACTCGGCTCTATTCTCAAAGAGACATAGAGTTCGATTTTTTTTCCAATTTAGACTGCTCTGAGGTCGTCATAGAAACTAAGCTATGTAACCAAGCCTGAAATGGCTGTCTTTCTATGTATCGCTTCAGGAAACGGAAACTAATATGTGTCTTTGTAAAAAAAAAAAAAACTTGTACCAAATTATTTTCTTGCCTAT